AGCAAACATGACGGCAGTGTGGAAGCATTTAAAACTGTCCGAGAAAGAGGCAAAAATCATTACAAGCACCGACAGCGAGAGACTGTTTAGTACTGCATCACATGTCTTCGATGAGAAGAGAAAGGGGTGCTTGTTGCTGGTTACTGTATGATGACTGAAATCACGAAATGGCCTTAAACAATTAGTAAATAAACTGCAGAACGTTATGTTTTCTAATACACGCTCTAATTGCATGTATTCTGACAGCGCTGCACGAACTCACGGCGGATCTGCTTGGTTCAAAGTCCAAAGCGTGAGGAAAGTCTGCGCTGATTATTTGGGATCTGTAATATTTTCTTATGTTTTAAAAGAAGTCTCTTCTGCTCAGCAAGGCTGCTTTTATTTGTACTGTAAAAAAATACATGCCTGATTCAAGAAGGGTTGTCTGATGGCCAAAAAATATTATTTTACTAACTTTTTTAATTTTAAGTTAAATTGTGCTTTGTTGGTATAATGTCTGCTAGAATGTAAAAAAAAATGTTCAGTGTTAAATATTTTTAAATTGTTGTTTTGTAAAATATTTTTTCTTTGAAAAGCAAGACAAAACAGTAAAAAGCACAAAGCACATTTTTAATTTAAGCAATAGTGAAAACAATTTGGCAAAATACATGGAGGGGAAAAACTCTTCGGCCTTCGGCCCAGTGTTTCATTTTGTTTGGTTTCAGCTTCAGCCAAGAATTTTCATTTCGGTGCATCCCTATTATTTATTAAACTAGGACGGTTGGAAAGTGCTCTACATTCCTGACTCAAACCACGATAACTTGCATCACTTTGCTTTAGCACTTGCAGCTTATTTGATCAGATAGTGAATGTGTTGAGAGCTTGACACAATGCATTAGTTACATTAGTAGCATTAGTTTAATTTATGTGAAAAGTATTTCAAGCTGAAGAGCTTAGGTGCTGCTGTCTGATGGTCTGTTGCGATGTAGAACCTCAGTGTTAAATTTCTCCTCTATTATAAGCCCTAGACTGAATCTACTCAGACAGAGATCTGATCTCACCCATGTCCCTACCTAAACCTGTGAAAACCTGCTGTACAACCACAATTACCGTAAATCCCCTGCACAAAAGCACCTGAATACGGACATAAGGGCAGATTTCAATACCAGGTTCAAAGGTCTCTATTTTGAAAAGAACTAAAACACTGTTGTGGAGGTCAACTTGGCATTAAGGTTTTAATGTTAAGGAAACAAGGTTTAGGCCACGTTGTGAATAAATGTGCTCGCATTCGCTCACTTTCAAACTTGTGAATATATGGTGTTCCTTCATGCTATTTGAATTAAAGTCTATTTTTTAGAAATTACTCTTGTTTATGTATTTTTTCTTGTTATATTTAAAACAGTTTGTGAGGTTGGATCAATTGAACCACTTTTTGGTCAGTTATTCAGATCAGCATTTAAATGTCTATGCATAAGTCATACATTAAATGTACCACTGCATTTCCCCACACATTTACATGTATTATGATCATGATTTATATCATTACGTTTCAAAGAGCGGAATTAAATAGCACTGATCATGTCAATTTTTACATGTACAAATATTCACAAGAAATTAAGACAATCTTGTATTTTATTTAAAGTTGACTGTCAGACCCATCTGCATATTTTGTTGAAATGTACTACTTTAAATGTCACTAGCAAAATGTTTAATCCGAAAGTTCTCTGATGAATCATCCTAATTTTTAAATCGAAATATTGAAATGAAAAATCTTATATATTTGTTATATCCTCCTGGGACCCCGAGACTTTTGTCCTCTGTAGAGGACATTATATTTTAGTGTATTTCTCTGAGACCCTACATGGCACAGTTTTAAGTCTGGATTTCTTGTACAGAGCACATTCAGGGCTGTTTAGAGATATCAACTGTTTGGAGGTTTGGTCATAAACACGCATTCTCCTTGGTCTTTAAATATGACTGATATTGACAGAATGATCAAATTTAGCACTCTTAGGGAAACGTGATAATGTTTTGTAATTATTATCATTTAAATCTGGCTAATATTTGAACTGTTTGTCATAAATCATAGGGAATTATGATCATGTTTTGTAATTATCATTTAAATCTGGCTAATTTTCAAATTGTTTGGCGTAAATAAACCTCAGAAAAATTTAATGGGGTTTCAAATCAGAATATGACTTTTTGTTGCAAAACGGCATAATTTTCATACATGTCTTCTGTAGAGGACACCAGGACAAATGGCATGTTAATCAGCCATTTTGAGGAGACACAACAAGTCAATAGGGAAATATGAGATATTCGTATGAAAATGTTGCCAAGTAGGCTAGTTATTCACATTATTACACTTCTTTTTTCATTATGGTTTGCCCCAAGAACACATTAATATGCAAATTAGATGCAATGTATAGATACATTTTAGAGAATGGGAATACCAATTTATGGGCATTTTACACACATATTCCATAAAGTACAGTAGTATATCAAATCATGCTATTATATCTTTCATAACAGTTGAGAATCATCTTTGTACAAAGTTTGGCTGAAAATAGCCTGAAACCTAAAAGCTGATGGTGAATGGAAAAATAAAACATTGCAATGTTTTTGCCTATTCGTGCATTTTCATGTCTATTTATTTATTATTATTTTTACATAATAGTCCTGGCATCCTCTAGGGCATAGAATAAAATATTAATAAAATATTTTTTTTCAAAGATTAGTATGTTATACGTTTGTCTCTTAAATAGCCAAAGATGCTAGTATGGCAATAAAAACAAACAAACTAAATAAATAGTTGACTATGAAAAGAAAAAAACGAATCAGAGAACAAATATAACAAATACAAATCAAAAAGAACAAAAGATTTACTTTTTTTTGTAGCCTATAAAATTCCTTTGCATTTTAGTGTTGCCTACAACACAGTCCTTCCCAAATGGACCGTTGGTTGGAACAAAGGGGCCCTTTCTGCGCCATATGTTCAAAGTCAGACGACAATTACAGCAGTTTTTTATTTTTATTATTATTATTATACAGCGCACATCCGACGCACAGCTTCCCTTCATGTGATCAGACTCTACTCGCTGTGCGCCCAAGGGTTTGCGTCTCCACACATGAAAGGCGCGCTAGTTCCTCTCTTTCACACCTGCGCCAATTTAAGTGCAAGGTGTGAATGGCTCCTTCAGGCCTCCTACCAAGACAACAAACTTCAATCACCGAAAATCCGCTCCTGATCCGATGAAAGCAGTGGTAATCAGTGTTGGGGAAAGTTACTTTTAAAAGTAATGCATTACAATATTGTGTTACTCCATAAAAAAGTAATCTGATTATGTAACTGGCGTTACTTGTAATGCGTTACCCCCAACACTGATGGTAATAGTCTGTAACCTGTCATCAGTCTGCGAACATTAGCCTAAATGTGGATTTAAAAGAGTTAATACGTGCTCTGGTTGTGGAAAACTGATGATTTATATAAACTAAGACACTGAACGTGTCTTAAAACTACCAGCTATCCAAACTCAGTCTGGATTCTTTAATCAGACATGATTCAGTGTTTTCTGTCAGCCGCAATCATTTGCGGTTTGGTTGCGCAGGCCTAGTACAGCTAGCCTAACCGTCAACTAACCCATTTAAAATTAAACCTCCAAATGGTTTTGTGGTATAGGAAGATATGTTTGCAAATTTAAAACTAATGTGCTATTTCTTTTTGGTCGACATCTAATTCAAACAGAAACAGCGTGAAAACCTAGGCCTATAACAAACTTGGTCTAACTGTTGTAGCCCGAGTCTTTTGTTAGTGCGCTAATTATATGGACTTTTCTAATGTTTTTTTTTTCTATGATCAGGCTGAAAAGTCGTTACAATATTAATCGGTCAAACGTTAAGGAAACGTCTGTGAGCGACGTTAACGGACTTACAGGCCTATAACGTTGGTTGCAGGTTCTATGATTTGTCCCTTACAAAAAAAATAGGCCTACCATTACAAGCATAGTGTCCGCTAATTATTAAATAAATATAATCTACAAATCTATTTTGATGACAGACTTGACCAGTAACAAGTAGTCTACAGCAGACATGACCTTCTGCATTTTAGTGTCAGTCATTCTGTCTGCACTGCTGGTTAATCGACAATGAGGTGTTACGTTTTACGTCTGAAGGGTAAAAACACCCAAAGCGGACATTCACACTTTCTAGTGTGTGTGAAGGTGTGATAAAGCAGGTTACATACTCTGTTTATTAGCTACATCAAAGCAATAGCATCTGCCTAAAAACTGCATAACATCTGCTCTTCGTCAATTCCGCGAAAAGCCTCAAATTCGCGTTACCTTAACTTAACTCTTCACAGTGAGGAAATCAAAATGTTTTATTGAAATCACAATCACATATAAAACATTAAATGTCATTACATCTAACATTTACATTTATTTCAAAATGACTTCATCATAATGATTTTTTTTTTAAACGTCAGAGATTTATAAGCTATCTAACGTTACATCCACATTGAAATATTTACATCCTAGCCTACAATAATTAGAGATGGGAAAACACTCCCTAGAAATATTATTTATCCTTACAGTGTTGTTTAACTTAGCTTATACAAAATTAAATAAAAATACGAACATTTTGTGTAAAACTGGACTGAAATGCACATTGTTGCACCAAGAAGAGCTTCTGAGCAGTGGTGTAGTCCTAAAGAAGAAAGTGGTTTACTATTACCCAGTAATATTACCCTATTACCCCTCCCCCCCAAAAAAAAAGTTTAATTTATATAGTAATTTATTAATATTAATGCAGTGCACTCTAAAATTGGTTGACAGATAGTAGTCTACTGCATGACTGAGGGGTATCCACAGGTCGATGACAAAAAACGTTGCAGCTGCCCTATTCCTATGTAGAACTGTCTGTGGTCTTATCATAAAGGTGCTCCTGGACTATTGCATGTTTTAATAGCTCTAAACTAAAAATATCCTGTTCATGAATCATCTGGGATCTCCAGAAGCATCTGTCTACCAAGGTCTCCACATGGACTTGGAGAGATGCATGGTTGGCACGCTTGGCGCCGGATCCCTGGCGTCCACCGAGATTCGGCTGTGCTCCGTGTCCGTATCATCCAGGTCAGAGCAAAGGTCGTCGCTGGAGGTGGTGGAGGGGGCCGGGGACAAGGCTAAGGAGCCGCTGCTGACCACGCTCCTGTCTCCGGGCGACAACGCAGCGTATGTCGCCTCGCCAGGCCAAGTTCCACAGTTACTAGAGTCCGGCACGAGATCTGACAGGATGTCCTGAAAGCGATCCTCGTCGTTCAGAGGCATGCACTCCAGGAGATGGTTCAGC